CCCCACCATAGACTCTTGAATACAAAGTGAACTCCATCTAGTGTCTACACGACAGTCAGTTCTCCACAGGGCTCAGCTTTGACCATGTCCAGCATAAGCTCGATGGCTCCCTGGAAACCTCATAATAAATTCATACCCTTTGCCTGACTTTTCAGTGTGCTTGAGACCCAGCCCCTGTCTACCTCTACTATCTCACTTCTACTGTCTGCTGCACATGCTCTACTCCTCCCAACCTCCCTGCCTTCACCCAAACATTTCTACCTACCCCTCCCTCTCCTTCAAAGTCCAGCTGTGACATACCTGCTCCAGAACAGCTCTTGTGGTTGTCCTCAGTCCTCCCTCACCCACCTACCCCCTTGGGTCCACAGTTCAAGTTCCCAGGCCCTGGGCAAGGACTCACTCCTGACAATGGCTGTCGAAGCTGAAGACGCATTTCTGCAGACTGTCCAAGGTCATCAGGCTGATGTGCTCAAACATGTCCAGACGGGCACTGCCCTCCGAGGCCAGGTGCTGCCACTTGGTCTGACCAGAGAAGGGGACAGAGCTGGGGGACTGGGCCTTGGCTCTTTGGAGCCCCTCCCCAACCCCAAACATCAGGATGGACACATTCAGAACCAGCCTCTTGGTCCTCCGGCCCAAGTAGCCATCTCCAGGGAGGACCCGGCTTGGGTGAAAGCAGAAGCTTTTACTATTAGGAGATGAAGACTCCATGGCTGGGAACAAGAGACCTGAGTTCAGGTTTCAGCTCTGCATCCTGTGCTGAGTGTGCCCTTGGGCAACCCAGTGCCTTCCCTTAGGTCCCATCTGTCAAATCTTCAGGAAGATTTAAGTTGACCTGCTTTGGTGCCAGATAAACTGGGTTAGTATCCCTGCTCCACCACCCCAGGACTCAGTACATGGGTAGACTTGAGTAACCCCTCTAATCTTTCTGGCCATCAGTTTCCTCTTCTGTAATGGGGTAAGTAGAAACTCTGACAGGTGCATTAAAATTAAATCAGAGAATTTATATCATGGAATTGGCACAAGGAATCTTTTCTGTCACATAGTGAGTGCTCAAAAATGTTGGCTTTCCTCCTATTTATTGTTATAAATGGACTGCAAAAATATCCCTATGTTGGTAGAAGTAGTCTTCCTTAGGCCCTGAGCATCCTTGCTGGGCATGCCAAGAATGCAAAGACCTATGTTCTTAACCTGGGTCATTTCTCCACCCTGTGTTTGAAGAGAAGAACCTTAAGGGATAAAGTAATGATTCCCCCGGACACATACCAGGCTGTGTCTGCTTGCTGTAAAATCAGATTTCCTAAGCCTAGTGCTCCTCCCCTGCACCACAATGGACTCCAGGAACAGGCATCGATAGGATCCCGCCTGTGTCACCCACGTGGGATTGAGCGGCTTGGAAAAAGGAGGCAAACCAAGAAGAAGCACGTGCTGTTGTGCCATGAGTAGTAAACCACCCTTTGTCTCTGACCCTGGAGTCTCGTGTCTGTGGCAGAATCCATGAAAAAGTAACACGTTAACTTATAATCTTGCGAGTAAGAAAAAAATCTTAGGCAGTTCAAAAAATCCTTATCCCACCTGGAAACCATTCTTCTAAGTGAATTATCAGAAGAATGGAAAAGCAAACAGCACATGTACTCACCATTAAAATGGGACTAATCGATCAACACTTATGTGCACATATGGAAATAACATTCATCAGAAATCCAGCGGGTGGAAGGGGGCAGGAGGGGATGGGTCATTCACACCTAACAGGTACAATGCCCACTACCTGGGTGCTGAACACGCTTACGACTTTGACTCAAATGGTACTAAAGAAATTTTTGTAACCAAAATGTTTGTGCCCCCATTATAATCTGAAATAAAAATGCAAAATGTACAGACAAATCCGTAACCCCATTCTCCACGTCTCCCTCAGCCCACACACTTGGCAGTGGGATTTTTCAGCAATTTGCATTAAGAGACGGAGCCTATTTTACCCACCACACTTTGATTCTGTGGCAGACTTTTGCCTTTTTTTTTGGCCAATACGATGTGGGAAAAATGATGACACAATAACTCTACTGAGCTCCAAGAGGCTTTGCGGGCTCCTCTCACTCCCTGGGAGCCCTGTATCTGCCATGGGGACAGCCGGGGATCCCTTCTGGAGGGAGAGAATCGCATGGAGGAAAGTCCAGCTGTCCCCGCTGAGGCCATTCTAGATCAGCCTGAAGCCGGCTGAGCCCCACACAGGTGAGAGACTGAGCCAGGATCAGCAACGCTGCCACCCGGTTCGCAGCTGATCATACACCCTGAACGACCCCTTCCACAGCCACAAGAACCAGCCCACTGTCCCCCAGACTTATTAGCAATGATGAGCACATTGATTAAACCAATGAGTTTGGAAGTGGTTTGTTCGCAGCAGTAGCTGCTGTGTAATCTTCATCATTGCTCTCTTGAGCTCACAGGAAGAGAAACAGAGAAACTGACACTGTCTGAGCACCTGCTATGTGCCAGGGACAGGACACCATTACATCATCTTGACATCCTCTTAAGTAGGGATTATTATACCCATTTTACAGATGAGGAAAGCAAGTCTCAGAAAGGAAGAAGGACCAAGCCACCCAGCAGAGCCAGAACTCCAGCTCAGACCTGTTTGTGGTCCCTCCACCCCAAGCCTCCAGCTAGGACCCCGGTGTCAAGGGACTTACGTGCATTATGCTCACGCTGTCGTTGAAAATCTTCACATAGGGCTTCAGGATGTTGAAATGGAAGGCGGGAGTCAGCATGCGACGGTGGTGGCTCCACTTGTCACCGGCACTCAGCAGGAGCCCCTCTCCTAGTCGGGCAGCCAAGGGCAGTGAACTAAGGCAGCACCTTGTCCTGCCCCACAAGGCTGTCCCCGCCCCACTCGCCTGCAATTACTCACCCAGCCAGGGTTTCATGAAGCCGTAGAAGATACTATCCTTCTGTACAATGGCGGCTGGCATGAACGAGGACAATCAGGGACATGGACAGGCAGGGGAGGGGCTTGGGGTGGGGTTAGAGGCTCCCAGCCAGGGGTCTTCACTCCCCCCTCCAAGCCGAGCATAGCAGGAAGGGGGCCAAGTGCAGACAGAGCAGGGAGGATGGGGAAGGGAGGGGCCCAGACCAGCCTGCAGCAGACACTAGAGCAACACACACCCTCACAGGGCAGAGCACACACCATCATGCCTTGACATGGCCCCTACATGCCTCAGCATGTCTGCAACAGACGAACACAGCTCAACACCCTACAAAACACCTTCCTAAGAACCTAGGATACCCTGCCTGCCCAGAACTCGGACACCTCCTGACAGGGATCTCAGACATGTGACCTGCCCCGATGTGTTACAGGTCCTGACACAGCCATGGCACACATGACAAACCCTAAATCACCCAACATGGTCTGAATTTGACCTGAAATGGTCTGACATGAGCTCAGCATGCCCCACGGGTGGGCCCCAGGTAGGATCGAAATATAATCTTGTTAATGTCCCAGATGTGGACCAGGTGTGACCCAGACTGTGCCCCAGGTGTGATCTGAACGTACCTCAAGACCTGCCTCAGACAAGACTCGTATTTCAGACAGCTCACGGAGGGGCCCTGGGTCCCACACCTCAGACAAGCCCCGAATACGGCCCAGATGTGACTAGCAGGAGAAAAAGCAAATCTCAAACATTTCAGACAAGAACAAGACAGACCTCAGCATGTTCCAAGCGACCTTGGCTACAGCTGAGCCCCAGACCTGGTGATCGCCATGATTCCAGATGTAAAGCAGGTGTAACCAGGTGTAACCAGGTGTAACAGGAACCAGGTGCCACCAGGACCCAGGTGTAAATATACACGTGAATAGATGTGTCCATACAGCAGACATCTGAGCAGACATGCTCAGACATCAGCCAACAGGACCAGAGGTCAGACAGAGGTCAGACAGGTCAGTCCTGGGGAGACAGAGGCAGTGTCTTCTCCTCCCCAGCCACTCCTGTCTGCACTCGGGTCCCCAGACCAGCTGGAGGCAGCACAGAGACCTCAGCAGTGGGCGAGCTGTGGCCAATGCAGTGTCCGTCTGAGCAAAGAGCACGGGTTTGATGCAGGTGGGTGGAGGATGCGGACGACCACGTCCCACGGCCTCACCCGCTGGCAGCAACATCCCCAAAGTTGCTGTCCAGGCCCTGCGTGTACAGGAGACCGTCCTGCAAGCCCCGAGTCTGGAGAAAAGCAGACAGAACCCAATTCACAGTCTTCCAGGCTGCCAGGGAGAAGGACCTGCCAGGTAGAGATGCAGCCCCGAGCCCTGGGGAGTCCGTCCCGCCTCTCATCAACCTCTGCGCTGAGCCTCCGCCTTGGCATCCCCCCGCCTTCTCAAACGCAGCAACCAGGAGCCTCAGTGACTGGACAGGAAAAGCCATTCCCCGTTTGGATCCTGTTGTGGTTTGAATATCTGCCCCTCGGAAACTCATGTTGAACGTGGACCCCCACGTGGCGGAACTGAGAGATGGGGCCTTCAAGAGGCGACTGGATCCTGTCGGGTCTGCCCTCCTGAACACACTCATCCATTGAGGGGTTAATAAATTAATCTACTAGTGGGTTAATGGATTAATGGGTTGACACAGGAGTGGGATTGGTGGCTTTATAAGAAGAGGAAGGCAGACCTGAGCAAGCACACTCAGTCCCCTGCCCTGCGGTGCCTTCTGCCATGCTCTGACACAGCACACGGCCCTCGCTACAAGCTGAGCAGATACAACAGCTCAACCTCGAACTTTCCAGCCTCCAGAACTGTGAGTATAAATTTGTTTTCTTCAAAAATCACCTAGTGTCAGCTATTGAGTTACAGCAACAGATGAACTAAGAGAGATCGCAAATGCCAATTCACCTGGGCTGTCTCTCATCCCATTTTCCAGATTGAGAAAGTAACACTCTGAATCATGAAGCCCCTCACCGAAGAACTCCCAGGTAGTCTGGGGCACACCTGAGTCCTGAGCTTGGCTCTGTCTGAATCCAGGGCCTGAGTTCTTATCATCAAACTCCTTTGTGCCCAGAAAGAATAGCTCTGGAAGCCGCACACCTGCCAAGACTGGGCAATCAGAGTCACAGTGACTAGGTGAGGAATTGGTCCTGTGACCCAGGCCAGGACAATCACAGTGAATCTCAGGCTACTTATGGAAGGTCTGAGGAAAAGATGAGATTTCCGAAGGTTCTGGAACCCCTCAGGGACACCACGAGGAAAGGGTGGCCTTGCAAGAAAAAGTGGTACAGTAAAAGATAAAACCAAGAGGGACACAGATGGCTGAAGAGATTGTTTCAGACCTGAATCCAGCCTTGCCCGAAGGCCACCCTCTCTGGACTTTATGGTCAACAGATTTCTTTTCTTTGCTGAGATGACATGAGGGTGAGTTTCCATGACTCACAACTGAAAGAGATGTCAGAAGCCAGAGAGGCCCAGGGACCTGCCCAGAGTCACTCAGCATTTTAGCGTCAGAGCCATAGTCTCTGTGGGATGCTGCCCGTTTCCCTGCTCAGCCTGGCCTGTCCAAGGAAGGGAGGGCAGAGGGCAAGGGAAGGGCACCAGGCTGCAGTGGGGCTCCTTGGAGATTCTTGGGGCCTGGAGCAGAAGAGCAATGAACTTAGGGCAGACGAGCCACCGGATGGGGTAGAAGGAGCTGAGCCACAGGTGTGGCACTCATGCAAAGTGCAGGCACTTGGGCACATGCAAGGCTGACAGCAGGCCTGGCAGGGAGCCTGGAACACTAATGCTGCCACTGAGTCACCCTTCCTGCACTTAAAAAGTTCCTCCTCATCAATCCAGACCCAGCTCTAGCAACTCTTCCTGTAGGTAGCCTTCGAGTCTGTCCAGTAGAAATTTAGGTCTCCTCTGAGCTGTCATAGTGCATCTTCCTCTGGTCCATTCCTGACCACATGAGGTTGGGGAGTTCCCCCAGGAAAAGGCCTTGAACTGACAGGCCTCCTGGGGCCCCAGTGGTGCCCAGGACACCAGGGCAGCGAGCAGAGGACAGTGCAGGGAGGAGACACTGGGGTGGGGGCGGGTGAGTACATGCAGGGAAGAGGAAGGTGGCTGAGGGAAAAGAGGGAGGGAGGGACCCAGGTACTGCAGGGGCCAAGCAGGAGCATCAGGGAGGAAGGGCTGAAAGCCCTTGGATGCGCCACGGCGCCACCACCACTAGCTCTGCATGGTACCTGAGGCATTCAGGACAGGTCGGATGATGTCGGGGTGGTAAACGTTGACGAGGGGGAGGGTGGGGCCCCGCCAGAACTTGAAGCCCTGGGGGTAGGTGGCCACCAGCTGAGTCACATCCCTCAAACCCTCTTCTGTGTTCAGGACCTGCAAGCAAGACAGGGCCGTCACCTCCTGTGATGGTTAATTTCAGGTATCAATGTGACTGGGCTAAGGGTTGCCCAGATAGCTGGTAAACATTATTCTGCGTGTGTCTGTGAGAGTTTCTAGAAGAGACAAGGAGTTGAATGGGTAAACTGAGGAAGGAAGATCCTCCCTCCCCAGTGTGGCAGGCACCATCCAACCCACTGAGGGCCCAGAGAGAACAAAAAGGCGGAGGAGGAGACTTGGCTCTGTCTCCCGGAGCTGGGACTTCCACGTTCTCTGCCCTTGGACATCCGAGCTCCAGCTGCTCAGGCCTTCGGACTTGGACTGAGCGACAGCTCCGGCGCCCTGAGTCTCCAGCTTACAGTCGGCACAGGGTGGGACTTCCCAGCCTCCACAGTCCCCTGAGCCAGTTCTCATGGTAAATCCCCTCTTCTCTGTCCAGACCTCTACCAGATCTGTGTGCCCCGTGGTTCTGTGTCTCTGCGGAACACTGACTAATACACGTCCCCAGGAGTGGCCACCGCAGGTCCCCGGCAGCCTCTGGAGGTGGTGCAGCCTCTGCAGTGAACTGTGTGTCTAGATTCTGCAGAGATGGAGGGGATCTCTGCTTCCTCCTGCTCCTTCTCTCCTGGGGCCGTCTCCAAATGCCACAGGTGCGTCCCGGGCAGAGGGAGGGGACGCGATCTCTGCCCACAAATGGGCCACTTGGCTCCAGAGGAAGGGTTTTCTTGTCCTCGGAGTGGTTCTGGCCTGGGGATAGCCATATGGGGACGTCCCCACAGAGGGGGTTGTGGGCAGCAGTGTGACCTCAGGACGTGTCCCTAAGGCAAGTTTCCACATGCCCTCATGTCCTGCCTGGTGCACGTGGGCTTCAGTTCCTCCCCTGGGGAAGGGTCTGCACCCTGGGGACCTTCCAGCCTCAGCAGACCCCAGGGAGCAGAGCGGAGCTGTAACTGTCCATGTGGACCATGGCTCCCACCTGTGAGCACCTTCTGCAGACCAGGCTGTGCACCCTCCCACTGAGCCTAAGGACACGCCCATCTCCCCTGCCATTACAAGTGAACAGGCTGAGGCCACGTCACCCACAGGGGACAGCAGGTCCAAGTCAGAGGGCAAGGTGTGGGGAGAGGGGGTTGGGAAAGGCTCCTGAGAGGGTAAGCGAGCGGCCAACTCTCACGCAGGTTGCACAGCAGGGCCCACTGGGACACCTTAGTGGGGAAGAGCAGGGTAAGAGGAGGGTGCTCAGGAAGGGCAGCGGTGGGACACTGTTCCCACCTGTCTTGTGTCCCAGCTGTGCCCCTGTGTGTTTGGGGGAGTGGGGGAGTCACAGCCCAGAGAGGGGCAGACACATGACACGGGCCAGGCAGGGAGGTCCAGGTAGGGCCACCGTGGACACTGCCCCTCAGGTGGCCTCAAGTCCCGCGGTGGAGAATTGGGAACACCAGGGGTCCCTGCTCTGTGCAGCCCTCCCCGGGAGCCCTCACGGTGCACCAATGTGGGAAGACAGGCAGGAAAAGTGTGCTGAGCGGGCTGGGGTGGGAGGACAAGGAAGGGACAGAGGCCTGGGACGGCACAGCAGAGCAGTGAGGCAGTGAGCAGAGGAGCAAGTGAGCCGCCTCCCTCGCTTCTCTGCCGTCCCAGACCCCAGCCCACCTCCATCCCCGGCTCCCTGAGCCCCTTCCTGTCCTGGGGAAGTCCACCTGCCTTGACACCCCAGACCCGTCCTGCTGCCACACTCACCAGGCTCAGGTGACCCAAGAGCCAGTTTGTTTTGGGAGGCTCTGGGAAACATCGGAGGCGGCTCCAGTTGTCATAGAAGGCATAAGTCCAGGCCAAGACGCGGGCCAGGAGCCAGGAGACCCCGACCAACAGCAGCGGCAGCCACGGGGATGTGGCCACTGGCCCCAGGCCCAGCCAGGGCATGCTCAGCTGTGGCATCCTGCAGGGCACACAGGTGCAGGGGGAGTTCCTGAGGCCCAGGAGAGGGAAGGGGGCTCCAGGGCCAGGGCAGAGAAGCAGGGGCGGGAAGGGGAGGGCTCCGAGATGGGTAAACAATGCCTGAGAGCTAAAGTCCACAAAGGCCCAGGCTGAATTGCAGGGAGGCTACCAGGGGCTCAGTTTCCAGGAAACCACCATTCCCAGGGCCACCTCCCTGGAGCCGCCCCAGCATTGGGCAGGTCCCTCCCCATCCCAGGCTGGAACCCTCCAGGGCCACCACCTCCAGCCTGGCACCTTCTCTCAGGAGCAGCTTGTCCACATAATCTCCTCTTCGCCCTGCTGGGCGGTCTTTGCCCTGGACCCTGATTAAGGAAAGGCTGAGGGAGGCAGGGCGGGTCTCGGCCAGCCAATCCCTGCAGGCAGGGCTGCCTCCTCCCAGCCTGGGCAGGGGACCAAATCATGGCGTGGGGAGGGAGCTGGCTGCAGAGCGATCATCTGGGGATGACACGGCAGAGGCACTGGATCCTCAAGTCTCAGCACCTCACCTGTGGGGTGAGGGGGCAAGTTAGGCGTGACCAAAGGAGATCCAGAGCCACACGGTTTGCACACCAGGTGGAGCTGAAAGTGAGAGTTCAGGTGCCAGGCGAGCATGGCCAAGCCAGGCCTTGTCCCCGATCGTCTCCCGAGCTCCTGTAGAGCATCATGCACCATTTCTCGGGGAAGAATTAGGAGGCTTGGAGATTAAAGCCCAGAAGCCCCGGCTGCCCAGTCTGGCGGGAGTTCGAGTCCTGCCTGGAGGCAGCCCAGGCCCTGGGTTGAGACATGACTGCTAGGAATAGAAACAAACAATCCAGCCTTGCTGGCGATTGTTCCAGTCAGATTCTTGGCATCAGGGGCTCTAGTGGGCATAGATCTTGCCCAGTCCCTGGGTGGACGGGACTGTTTCCAGGAACTTTGTTTGTGGAGCTGGTGCCAGGATGAGGATATGCTTCAGTGTCTTCAGATGGTTCTCTATTGCCAGGTGCACCGTGGATGTGGCTTCCCTCAGGCCTTTGGGGGGCCGTCGAATCACTGGGGTGGAGGGGGTCCCGCTGCAGGCCAAGCTTCCGTCTTTGAGAGCTGAGTGCGGCTGGAATGGAGTCGAGGATGTGGTTTAGGGTCTACAGCTGACACCAAGATCTTCAGGTCTCTCTCTGGGGCCACACACAGGTGCTGTCTCAGGGCAGGTGCCAGGGTGGGCATGCCTGCTCTCAGACCACGCTTGAGAGGGGCTGGCTGCAGACAATTTCTAGGGCAGTTTTGAGACCCACGATCAGACTGAGGTCAGCGAGTCAGCCTGCAGTGGCGCCGGCAGACGTGCCTCCCGAGGGTTCCTGGGTGGGAAAAATGCCTCTCGATTTGTAGCCAGAACTGAGATTAAGGGGCATTTGAGGATCCCCTGTGGGTCAGAGGTTGGCAGTCCTGCCGGCTGGGCTTCTCTCCTGGTAAAACTCTCGCCAGGAACACCTGCTCCGGGAGTACCTGGGGCGTGGGGGGCAGGATCCAAGGTTTCAGGATGTTTTAGGATTTGCTGTGAGACTAAGGCTGGAAGCTCAACTCGGTGGCACCAGTGCTTGCAACTTCGGCAGTTCTCGTGCAGCAGGGGTTGCTCCGGACCAGAGTCAGGAGAGGCTGAAGCTGGCATTCAGGGCCCCTTCAGAATCTGCTGGGGGACGGAGGCCTGCAAACCTGTAGGTGACACAGATGCGTGAGCGGCCCTCTGGGTCCCTGTGTGATCAGGACTAATTTGGGACCACAGCTGACGAGAGACGGAGCTAAGTCACTGGGTTGTTTCCAGGTCCACTGCTGAGGGCAACGGCAGTGAGCCTGTCTGCTGAAGCGCCAGTCACGTGGGTTCCTCCTAGACCCCTTGGTGGATGATTCTGGACGAAGGATCGAGGCTGGCTGGGGCTATAGCTAAGCCCTTCCTGGAATAGGGCCTTTTCCAGATCTTGAGCCAGGACCAAGATCGGCATGTCCGCCCCATGGGTGTGGGTCGGCCATCTCAAAACGGCCCTTCTAGGCCTTGGGCACCTGTGAGTTTTACAACCTCCTCCTGATCCCAAGGCTCCCACAGAGGCACTTGGGTCCACGGATGGCTGTGACATTATCGCTGTGGTGGGGGACTCTGAGCTGACGGTGGAATCCTATGCCACCATCTTGCTGATTTCACCCTTCTAGAAGTCTTGATGTCAGACAATATTCGTTCTCCAACTTTGTCCTCCTTTGTAAAAATAGCTTTGGCTTTTCTAGGCTGTTTTCATCTGTGTATAAATGTTATAGTTGTTTTAGAACTGGCTCGTAGATTTCTATAAATAAAGCATTGTGTAATTTGGGATTGTGCTGAATCTAAAGATCGGTTTGGGGATAAAGGACATTTGAACAATATGGAACGTGCCAATCAATGAACATGGTTATCTTTCCATTTGTTTAGTGTTTACCATGTTTTCTGAACAATGTTTTATAGTTTTCAGTGTCAAGATATGCACTGGTTTCGTTAAATTTATTCCATCGTGTTTTATTTTTTATGATGTCATTATCAGTGTTATCAACTGCAAACATTTTAATTTTCAAATTGTTTGTTGGTAGTATAACCAATAAACAATTAGATTGATTTTTGTATAATGGCCTTGCACCTCCTGACTATGCCAAATTTATTCATTATTTCAATTAGTTGATTTTGATTCTTTCGGATTTTCCATGACAACACTTGTGTTACCTGTGGATAAACAATATTTGGACTCCTGTCCTACAAATATGCATATATAAACTTTACAGTGCTTTAGTTTTGGTGTCCACCACTTCTCCTTCTACATTGCTACCCAACATTTCTGTTCCGTGTTTTACATATACCATTAGAAACCATTATTTGTTTCTTTATCTACGATCATTGCCTGAATTTGCCTATATTTTTACCATTTTTAAATTTTTTGCTTCAATTTTAGAATATCCTTCTGGAACATTTTCCTTCTCGAAGTTCATCTTTTAGAACTTCTGTTGGTGGTAACTTCCTCAATCTTTATTTTTCTGTAAATGTTTTATGTTTGTTCTTAACTACAATTGAGTTAGACGGTTTCTTTCTATCAATATCCTTTAGCTGTTATTTCACTATGTTTTGGCCTATTCACTGTTCTTGTTGAGATTTTGCTTTCTCATCCATATAATATGGTCATCCAATCTTTGAAAACTACTTATTTCGGCAACCAAAGTCATGCAAATTAAAACAACAATGAAGGACTTTTTAAAAAACAATGTGTGAAGTTATTTATAAATAAAAATGATCACTTCCATTCCTGGCATGATGGCATTGAAATTGAGAGTCTCATACGTTGCAAATTGACGCAACTTTTCCAGATAGAAATGAGGTAATATATAGCAATACTCATGGAGATTTCCAAAGTCTGGAATCTGGAAGACTAAACTATATGAACATACTCCTGCTATCCAATACCTAGAAACCCCTAGAGATACCGGATACAGTATAATGAACATCCTCTGAGCACAGAGCTGAATCCACAGAAAGTCCAGGGAGCATTTGTGTCTACCTTCCTCCCCACAATGGTGGGGGCAGAGGCCCCAGGAGCAGCCATGGAGGTTATTCTGACCGGCTATGTGTCTTATCCTGCTGCTATTGCTCATCTTCTTTGGCATTTTCCTCTCGAAAAGTGTTTGAAGAATGCATTTTAGTAATTCTTTTAGTTCGGCTCTTTCAGTGGTGAAAATTCTCTACTTTCGTTTATCAGAAAATGTCTTTATTTTGC